CACACCTGTTTGTTTGCTTGTTAAACTGTATTTAGGGTCCGCCTGTATTTTCTCTCTATCCATCTACTGAGATTCTGCCTTTCAGTCTTTATTGCACAATAAATCGAAGAACGTTTTGAAAACTTGAATAATATCTCTACTAGGACGTATCATAGTTTTGAAGAAAAAATTTTTTTCTTCCTTGACGTTAATTTGAAAAATATGCGAAAAAATTACTTTTTTTCGGTCTTATAGAAAATCTACCGCTAATTTACAAATATTGATGTTAAATATGTAAATTGTCTGAAATCTTCTGGGAAACTGAACACGTAAATTAATTTGTTAATAAAAACATTTTTTTTCCTTTTTACAATTTTCATTACGATCGTTTCTGGTTTTATCCCACCTTCATATAAACGACATCACAACCATGGATTATAAAAATGTTTCTTATGTAACAATTAAAATCTAAAAATATTTCTAAATTTTCTTATTTTATACATATTGTTAAAACAACCAATATACATATATGGAAATTAACGTCAAAATGTGAATTGAAATATGAAAATATCTGTTATAACCGACCAAGTCGAGGTGAGGAATATTCAAAAGAAATAGTAAATGTCTTTTTTTTAATTTTTTAGACGGTATGGTAGTAGAAAATTAAACTTAATTTTAAAGTAACGGAAGATCTAAAAATTTTGCAATATTATAGTACTTAATTAGGTCAAAATAAATACGTGATAATCCATCAATGTCACTGTTATTATTAATTTTCATTTCTTTTAATCTGAATCATTTCTAAAATACATCTTTTATGATAATTATTTTCATTGTTTAAAATTTTAATATTATCATCGAAATTGTGGTTATTTACTATGTCATGTTTTGCTAAGGTAGTACTATTTAAATTTTCACTTCTAATGTTATATTTATGATTGTAAATTCTCTTATGCAAAATTTGTATTGTTTGGACAATATATTTACCATTGCAGTCATTACAATTTATTTTATAAACAACATTTGTTTTATTTTGATTTGGAATTATTAGTTTAAAATTTGTAAAATATTTTTTTGTTGTTATACAGGGTGGTCCGAATTTTATGCAGGAAACTTCGAGGGCAGATTTGGAGATACAGGGTGTTGAAGTTGTAAAAAAAAATGATTTTTTGTTTATGTCTCCGGAATCTATTAACCGATCTTAATAAAATTGGTACATATAATGTATGATAGTAGGCTTTATATTTCATGAAATATGAGCTTTAAAGGTTCAACCAGTGATGTACAACTGGACAAGGGTCACCCCCTTTTTTACAAAAAAACCTACGCCACTGCATTTTTTACATGTCATTGTAACGATTTATATTTTTATCCATAAAATACGTAAAAAAGGTGACTTTAATTTTTTCCCTAAGATTCGCCGTTCTCAAGTTATTCATACCAATACCCTTGTGGCAGACACTTCTAACGATAATATTACAAGAATTTTTGTTTATGTCTAAACGTAAGTCCAATTTGTAAGCTCATCAATAAAATTTACATTTACACTCCTTTCTACACCACCTGTGAGGTAGTGTGCGATATAAACGAAAAATCTTTTTTTTTTAAATCTCAACACCCTGTATCTGTAAAACGGGGCCATTCCAGACCTATGTTTTAAGGCAAACACATATTATTTTAAAGAGATCTATCCACCCTCGAAGTTTCCTGCATAAAATTCGGACCACCCTGTATAAGTTTTATGCACTACATAATTTTTTAATATCTTTTTAATATTTTCAGACAATTTTGGAATGTATGGTAAAGAAATATAGTTTTTACATTTTAAATTATTATTATTATTATTGAAGTTTTGATTGTAAATCCCATGAATTCTTTTCTTAATCATTTATAATTTTTTTTTGGATAATTATTAATTTCTAAAACAATTTTAATTTTTTTAATATTTTTCGGTCTATTTTTTTGGATGTGATAATTTTATTGCACGGTAGTTAAACCATTAATAACGCTTTTTTATGAGTATTTGGTGAAAATGAATTAAAATTTATATATATTTTGGACTGAATTTTTTTTTTAAAACCAATTTGTTTCAATTTTTCGTCCATTATTATAGGAAATAGTTAAATCAAGAAAAGTTATAAACAAATTATGTTAATTGTGGCGAGTTTCCCAGAAGATTAATTATTATTTAAGAACAAATACTGATGATTGATAGATGAAGACTAATATTAAGAGAAATTTTTCCAGTCAAATGTACCCACAAGAACCCTATAAATTGATAAGGTGATCCATCCAACCGTTTCTCTGTTCTAAAAGATCAAAGTTTTGGGAAGAATTAAAAGAACATGTTTATTAGTTTTATTAAAACGAAAATTGAATTTCCTGAAATTAAACAATTGTTTTTCTTGGTCCCAATTGGGTTAATCATGAATGATTACCTTTACAGTGACTTTGCTATACACTAACAGATGTCGCCTACTCAGTAAATTTCGCTAATCAAGCTTAAATTCCTTTTGAGCTTTAAAATTGCAACATCCTGTACATAAAAACGTTCCCGACGCCAGATTCACACATATACAATTATTTTCCAGCAATAGGTCCATTAAATTCGCGAAAATGAACCACATAATGCGCAAAATTATCATATACGAGAGGAAAATAATATCCTAAAAGCGCGTCCCTAATCTGTGTCCTCAAGGGAACATAATAAAGCCCAGTTCCTCACAAATTACATTCCGAAATATTCTGGCTACGTGCCCACTTCATGCCAACGAGCGTTTTGTATCTCCCATTAGAAAATATGACTGGCGATTTCCTTCGGTTCGCGCATTAAAATATTAATAAATCACCCCCAAATCCTGGCGGTCACATTACGTCCGTTTTATCTTTTATGTAATAACGAACACAGCCTACTATGTAGCGTAAAGGGAACGGCTTATAATTGCCGCCGTCAGAAGTGGGATTTGGATTTTTCAGTGGGTACAATTTTGAAAGTGATTGAGATCTGTACAGGCAGGGATATTCTCATAACATGGTATTCTCTTTGTACTCCCATCTAAAAAAAACTGGTAAAAACCAACACAAACCTGTATATTGAAACTTATTCCAAACGATACCGAATTTATTACAACGTTTTTGTTACTATAAACTGTGGTTAAGTTTAAAAAACTTAGACACACATTATACCAACAAAATAATTTGTTATTTACTATTCTGAATATTTTTTTTTGATATATCAAATTTATTACGACACCTTTCTTGTTATAAACTGTGTTTGAGTTATTAAAATACAGGAGAATAAGTCACATTCTGTATACATTATAAGAACAAGAAGGGCTAGTAATGGCCCTAAAATAGTTATATATTAAAATTTAGTCAAGAAAACAGTTTATTTTATCTTAAATTAATGCAAAACAACGTGCAACAGCAAATTAAGCCGCGATTGATACGCACGGAATGAAAGTTATTGTACGATGAAAGCATGCCTTTAGTAGGGCTTGCCGTTGAATACATTTCGACCAATAGTTTTGCAGCCACACGTGCTTGATCATTATTTACACGATTAGAACTCGTTACTTCAGTTTATTAAGCAGTATTTCGTGAAGCGTCTTTGTACAGCATAAACCTTATAAACCTTATAAATTCATTTATTTCAATATTTAGGGTGTGTCTTCCATGTTAAATTATGTGACACTATGAAAAAACAAACAGTGTGTCCCGTTTTTCATGTTAACACCTCTGGAAATGTGAGAAGACTGTGTACTTTCCGCAAGCCAATTTATTTTTGCAGATAGTACCCTGCAGTGAGGTTATATTCTACTAATCTTTTTTTTTTGATGTGACAAAAGCCTGGCTTACTGCGATTTTTTAAAGGGATCGTTTTTCCAGAAAGTGGTATTAGGCATTTTTTTTACCAGGAAGATAGTATTACCACGCTATTCAACACTAAGCAAAATACCCAAATTTGATCGACAAATGTCTATTGAGTGTTTTTTATTTCGTTTTTTGCTTGTAAAATTTTTAACTCTAACGCGATTTTTTTTTTAATTTGGAGCACCTATTACTTTCATAAGAGTGCAATTTTAAATTAAAAATGCAAAATGAAAGGTTGTATTTTTTTTATTTTCAATTCCTTTAAAAAAAGTAATTAGGTACATTTCTTGGGAAAATCAAAAAATAAATCTAAATAATAAAATGATGCTTCTGTTTTAAATTTAAAAAGCTAACCGATTTCGTGAAAATTGGTATACTTTTTTTTTATGTACCAGTGACTCTTATTTGTTTTATGATGTAAGAGAAGTGTGCCTTGAAAACAATTGGTACTAGTTTAATCACAAAACAAAGAAGCTTTTTCCATTTTTGTCATTAAATTTTGAAATTGAACTGAAATTTTTAAAAGAATTGAAAATAAAAATGTTATAATTTTTATATACCTATTCTGTGCGCTTTGTACTTTTTAGGGCTTTCTAATTTTGCAGCATTTTTGCTGCACTTTTATGAAAGGAATAAGTATTAAAAATTTATAAATAAATAACGAATAGAAAAATCAACTTTAAGGTTATGTATTATACTGTATAATAGTTCTCATTTCGTGCGTATCATTAGCGGGTTTAATTTTATTGCTGTTTTATGTTGTTTTAGATTAATTTATGGTGTTTTGCCCCGATTTGGCTGATTAGTGACTGAATAAGAGAAAGGAGTAAAACTATACTATATTTTGTTTAATTTTTTTTTTAACTAACCCTATATTTCAATTTTTAATAGCATACCCAAAAACGATTCAATTTTCATTTTATATTTATGTGAAACGAAATAAATTCGAAACACTTTGCAGAGACAAGTTAAATAACCACAGTTTTGTTGCCTTTCTGTTTCCTTTCAAACATAATGTCCTCTATCCCATTCCGACCAAAGTCACGCACCTATCATTTTCCGGAACAAGTCGAATAAGTCCCAAGCTCCCCTAAGATATATGTCAGACCAGAACCGATCCGTGTAGCAATCTGCTTTATTGTTTGCAGGACTGGCAAGCTACACTACCCCACCAACGTCTGCGGGCCCCTCTTCGAGGAGGAATTGGAGTTCTGGGGGTTAGACTCCAACCAAGTGGAGCCCTGCTGCTGGAGCACGTACAGCGTCCACAGGGACACTCAGGTAAGTGTTTGTTAATGAATAATAAACCTTATAATCCACATAAAATAAAATGTGGGTTACAAAGTTATTAGACAAGGTATGAAAAAAATGTGGTTCTTCACTAAGGCTCTTGTTCCTTGAGCCCTCGAGCGTGGCGCCGCCGTTAACGTCTGCGCAGAGGTTATCCGAACATCTATTATAACCTCCAATATGTTATATCTGTTCATTAAACCTAAAACAAGTTATCATCGTCCCTAACAAAGACGTTTGAATCTTCTGAAACAATTAAAAATATCCATTGAGCCCCGTATCAGATAAATAGACAATTGAACGCCAAATACAGTCATATTTTTTCATCGGCTGTAAAAGAAATTGTCAATCAATCTTTGTTAAAGAGAACACAAAAAACTAATTGAATAAATCATCAAATATTTCTTAACTTCGTCGAGATTTTAAGTACCTTATTTCTTATTTAACGACAGGCTGTTAATTAGCGACTATCATTTAATTGTGTTTTAGCTTCTTTAAATACAGTGAGACTTCTTATTCTCCATCGGCCCCTCTCCCTCGAAAATTAGGTTAAATCAACGACGTTTCAGCTGAGTGCTACGCAGAATTCTCGAGCTTCGACTTAATAGTCGGTGCACTGCAGCTTCGCCAGTCTAATAGATATTTAAATTTTAAATCGCGTTTTCATTTCGTGTATGAATACGTAACGACTGAATAACGGTTCGAATAAAAAAGTCCACGACGTTCCGTAACATTCCTCCTCAGGCTCGTTAATTGATGGCGTTACACCGGTACCTATTTCTTGCAACGCCATGAATATTTCATGGGGATGAGTGAGAGAGAAGTGGTATTCATTTCCAGGGCCAGAATTTTTATGAAATTGGGTAAATTAAATTCTAACTTGTCTTTTACGGTCTCTGTTTAGAAACCAAGGTTGATACAACTTTTTTTATGTTAAAAATATCCCGGCAAATAGTTTGTATGATTTTGAACGTTATGGTATATGGCAGACATGTACAGGTCGACGCAGAACTGATGGTTCGCCGCCATTACAATAAAACAAAAACGCAAAAAGCAAACTTGACTGAAAATATTCCCTGTATAACATTTCATGTAAAAGTAACTTATAGAAAGGAGCCTTTTCCTCTAGTCTCCCTGTAAATCCTCGCATATACAGAGTGTCCCAATATTCCATGTACATGGACAACAACCTAATGTTTGACAAAAAAAATATTTTTTTTCGAGTAACTTTCAAATGAAATGCCTTAGAACATTTTTATTTATTGGAATATAGGACACTAATACTTCCATACATATGTCAGTTTATGACATAATAAACGAAGTAATTTGATTAATAGAACTGTCGATTTGTGTTACAGGCCACCTTGGCCATCCTGGACAAGCTGGACATCGACGCAGAGCGCCCCAGCGATGAAGAAGTGGCGCGTATGTTCGGCTACGAGGAAGCTTACTACGCGGGAACGCTCACCAGGTGGCAGCGGCTCAAGCCCAAGATCTGGGCGCTATTCGACGAACCCTATTCGTCCTCCTCCGCCAAGGTACCGCCGTTGAATGTGCATCATCGAAATGTGATTATCCGTTTTACTAACTTACTAATACTTAGATGTAGGACAGCGCTAGGACTGTCTCGGTAGATAGATTAGAAAGATTCAGAATAATTCCAGAAGTGACGTCATTACGTGCCTTGTAAGGACGTTATCAAAATTAACTTCCGCTTGCTCAAAACTACTTTCCGTTTTCTTAAAACTGAGAAATACATAGAAAAAAAGTTATTGTAATAATTTGCCAATGACTAAGCAATCAGTCTAATTCTTTTGGATCTCTCTATTTATTGTATAACTTAGAATGGGGGTCATATTTATATGTAGGGCTGCCAGAACTGAGTCGTGGGACATAGGCGTACGCATTATTTATTAAAAAGCAACAAATTAAATTGTCTACAATACACCACCATAAACACCAACGGATAGGAATTAATTACGCAACATTGGCGCGATAACAAAGGAAACAGTATACTAACGTGACGTAAACGTGAAAAGCATCTGAGGCAGCGGCTCACGCATGTCTTGGTTGACCCGCTTGGCACGCCATTGAATTGCGGCCCACTCTGTCAGCCTTATTTATTTGGAGGCTATCTTTGACCTTTAAAAACAACAATTACAATTTGAGAAAAAAAACTTGTGATCACATAAGTTCTTCTTAAACTCGTGCAAACTGAAATATATCAATATATCTATATCAGTTAAAATTTAATAAATCTTACAAGAAATATGAGTTTTTTGGAAATACTCGAAATTGTTTTTTAATGTTCGGCGTTTCGTCCGATAAAATAACATGTCGTAGTCCTACAAAAAAAAAAACTTTCTTAAAAATTGACCCTCACTTAAAGTAACACCTTATTTAACGGAATTGTGAAAGATGAGTATCTAAAAGGAATGACTGGGCACATTGCGATCTCCACAAACTGCCTTTTGGTATAATTTCACATACTTCATCTTTCAAATTCTAAACTAACCATTATTAACATACAGAAAGACACTACAGCAGACTTACAAAAGCTTACTTTTATTGTATTTTTCACTTGTATATACATACCGTTGACGTACTTCAAATTATGAAACATTTTGGGTCATAATATTTCAAATTTCCCGTTTTAAATGTATGCTTATCGCAATATCCGCTAGAGGCGTTATCTTTCTATAATTGTGGCTTAGAGATACCTACCTGTAGTGTCTTTCTTAGCTGTGCATATTATATTTTGTCAAGGCATCAATGTGTGTTGAAGTAAACTGCTGAAGGAAAATATGCAAATAATATACAGAGAGTGTCAAAATAACGCCCATAAATCGTAAGGGTAACAGATTATTAAAATATAAGGTGAATTTTGCGTGAAATACAGTTCTTTAAATTTGATTTGTTTTTTTATAATATTAGGGTAGGGGTTCTTCTTCAGTTTTTGCATATTTTCTCGAAAGTGAGTATTTTTTTGTGTAGAATTTAAAAGTACGTCAAAATTCTCACCACAAAAAAGTAGTTACTTAAAATATTCTTGATTTAACGTGCCTTGTTAAAATGTGTCAAATCTTGCAACAGAATTTTAAAACAGTTATCCCTAACCGATTGAGCTGAAATTTTGCATACACGTTCAGATTGCATGACAATGCATGGTTAGCTAAATGACGTCATTGTAAATCCAATATGACCGACCAATTATTTTTTATGTACCCCCATGATAAGGGTATGAAATGAAAGAGTTTGCTGAGAAGAATACGAAAATAAAATAACGTCACTAAAAGCTTGTTTATCATTTTTTTATACATGAACTTATTGAATTTACTAACAATATCTTTTAATGATACTTTTCGATATTACAAGAAATTGGGATAATTTGCTTGGGGCTACTTTTAAATTTTTCAAATAATTGAACTCCCTGTTCATAAAATCCAGGGTTTGACCTGATTTTTATAAAGATTGACATTTTTTCAAAAATTAAAAAAAATCAGTTTCTCTTCAAGGTACAACACTCATGGAATACACTGTATATCTTGAAAACAAAAGATGACGGATCTATAGGAAAAACCTTTATTTTTCTAATTCTCTATTACCTCTAGAAATTACGGTACGTTATTCTGAAAACTATTTTCATTTCTAAAACATGCATTGATATCTTGTCTAAGCTATTCAATGTGATAAAAAATCGTTCCAATGATATTAACCGTTTTTTATGAAAAGTACCTGTTCGAATAATTATTTACAATTAATTTCACTTCACAATATCCATAACTGATCTGGAGCTATTTGAGTCGATGTGAAAATGCTGCAATATTAGATGTCGGCTAAACTTGCTTTATATGTGCTGAAATGTCTAAGCAACTGCAAATAGCTATTCCTTCCTTAGTATTCTTAGCTTTATTGAATACTATCATGCTCCTCCCTCTAAAATCCAAGCTCTATGATAAAAAACGGCCCTCGCGCACTCTGTTTATTTCCGCAGTATGTGTTTTCACGCGAAATGGGCAACGAAACGGTTGCAATCATTCCTCGAATTCCGTCCAAAATGCAAATTAACTTAATGTTACCGCGACACGGCACATAAACTTTATACGTCAACAGTGTGACGCCTGGGGCGGGTTTCTGTTAGTTTTCATCAATTTCGGAACGCGTTTAGCTCTGCATTTTCCGCTGTCTACGGAAAATGATTTAGCTTGTCGCAACGCTTTTATTTATATGAACTATGTGCTCGGCTGTACGGAATTAAATCACCTAGAAAAGCCTGCTGAGATTTGAAGCAGTCGATGAATAAGGTCGCTATTTTTTTATATTTAGTTTTCCTCGGAATTTCACAAATCACTCGATTTAACAGAACAGAAAAAAAGTTCTCTCCCATACCACAAGATATATCGCCTATTTTGCAACCATTCCAGTCGTTAATTTTCCCCAGCTTTCCACCCACCGACCCATAAATCCTGCTAAATCGACTCGTTAATTTATGTTGTAGATTGTAGCCGGCGCGTCGGTGTTTTTCATATGCGTCTCGGTGTTTTCCTTCTGCCTGAAGACCCACCCGGAGATGAGGGTGAAGTGCGAGAACATCAAGTACCCAGAGGACAACTGCACGGAGCCCCATCCCTACTTTCTCACCGTGGATCACTTCTGTAACGCCTGGTTCACCTTCGAGCTCTCCGTGAGGCTAATAGTAAGTATTTTCCCTTTAAAACTTGGTTTGGTGGGATACAATACTTTTTACTCTACTTTAAAGGTATTAAAATAGTTCAGACAAATTAAAAAATGCTCAGAATTGTGATAGAATACAGAAAATTTTATGGAAAACGGTACAAAATATAATTTCTATACCCAACATGTAAATGACCTTTTGGAGCAATTAGGAGAGGGTCAATAGTTTGCAACATTAGATTTAGACAGTGGATATAATTAAATAGAAATACATCCTAAAGATATTGATAAAACAGCACTCAACGGGTAATGGATATTGCGAATTTCTTAGAATGCCATTTGGTTTTAAAAATGCTCTAAGAATCGAAAGCAAAATTGTACTCTAGCTGGAAAATCTACGGGTAGTAAATGGTGCACTGGGGTAAAGTGACACGGATACAATTTTTCATTATGAAATAGTCGAAGAATAAATTATTTAGATTTACAGCGGCAGACATTCGTCTCAAACTTATTTCTGTGTTACATGAAAATCTCTCGTTTTTGTGTTTTTTTTTTTAGCGAAACGACCCAGTTTTTCCGAACGATTTCTAAATAATTTGTGATCCGATTGTGATCTGTTTGAGTAGTGTCCGAATATTTGCGACACGGACTACGCCCATTAGAATTTTCTTTCTTATAAATGCATACCATATCTCGCATTTCTTCGTTACAAAATAAATTATGGCGTGGCACACGGTCGGTATTTTTAATGTTTTACATGTAAATTTACTAGAATATACTTTAAAATAATGATTTTACATAAGTTGCGTAGGCAATTGGTTTTCCTATGGATCTATCTCTGTAAGCGATCTAGAAGCTGCTGAAATGCTCTCGAACATGTTCCAGTCAGTATTTTGTGTTGAACTTTTTTGGACCATTTTCTCCTTTACGTGTTGAAATTGCATCCAATGGAAAAATAACGAATAAATCGAAAACTATACTGGTTTTGTCTACGTAAAAAAGCTAAAAAAATAGTTTTTTTCTATTAAAACTTTCATACATGTAGCTAGAAAAAAGTTCTGACTCATTTTCATCCATTACTTTGTAGCGCCTAAAGCAAAGATCGTTTTTCTCGTCCCTGAAAAGCCCCTAATCCGTATTTTCAAAGCAATTCATTGATAACTTTCTAATCACAGCCACTCAAAAAAAATTTGTCTGTACTTTTCATGCGACATATGTTATCCGTAGTATTTTTGCCTCCTGATCACGAATCCGGTGTCAGAATTGAGCTATCACATCAAAGGAATTTACTAACCTCAAAAAACAGGTCAAACATAGCAAAAATTCACGAAAAAGTGCTAGGAAAAATACACAAATTTTTGTTTCTATATTCAAATGTTCATTTATATGGTTAAAATTGATGGTTCTTTTTCTAACCTCAAAAAACAGGTCAATTAAGGTCAGATATCACGAATTTTCAAAAAAATAGCAGAATCCCGCCAAATTTGGTATACGGGGGTTTTCGGGATCGCTGATCACGGATCCGAGGTCAATTTTGCAAAATTTAAGATGGTGAATCCAAGATGGCCGACCAAATTTTCAAAAAATACCTAACACATTCGCGTCAAATTTGGTACACGGGGGTTTTCGGGGTCGCTGATTACGAATTGCGAAATTCTTATTGTAATATTTTTGTTTACTTTATAACCTGAGTACCCAATCATGTTCTTTTTTTCGGCTATATCTAATTTGTTCTTTTTTCTGTAAAAGTAGATCTATTCACGGGTTTTCTGTCTAACCTTGTAATAAACTACACAGGTAATTGATTAAATTTTGTAGTGACCCCCAAAACCCCCGTATACCAAATTTGGCGGTAATGTGTTATTTTTTGAAAATTTGGTCGACCATCCTGGATCCGCCATCTTGAATTTTGCAATATTGACCTAGGATCCGTGATCAGCGACCCAGGAAATCTCCGTATACCAAATTTGGCGCAAATCTGTTATATTTTGAAAATTCGTAATATCTGAGAATCTTAATTGATCTGTTTTTTGAGGTTAGAAAAAGAACCATCAATTCTGACCGCGAAGTCTTAACCAAATAAAATGAACATTGAACATGAATATAGAAAAAAAAATTGTATTTTTTCTAGCACTGTTTCATGAATTTTTGCTATTTTTGACCTGCTTTTGAGGTTAGGAAATTCCTGTGATGTGACAGGACATAACATGTCGTATGAAAAGTACAGATAACTTTTTTGTGTGGTTATGTAATTTTAAAGGGGTGTTGGAAAGAAAAGGAAAAATTTTAATAAATCAACAAATGTTGTATTTTTAGATGAAAATATCCCCGTAACATTCACTTCAGTTAATAAACCGCATCCCATCACTGAACACGCCAATATTTGCGGATGCATCAAATAGATATACACAAACAAACTGTATTTATACAACAAATCCAGGGAACGTGCGTACCTATCCCACCGCTAATTAAACATGGAACAGAAACATTAAAACAAAATTTGCGGAATAACAATTTGCTTCGGTTGCTGCATTGCGATCGATAACGATGCTCCCTCCTATATACTTAAAAATTAATATCTGCACAGGATGGTGCAATAATCCAAGATACAATATAAAACAGTAAGCTTATGAGGAGGAGCAGATTGCTTCCTGGAGTTTAAATTGCTTCCTCTTTCATTTATTTGGTACGTATTTCTTTTAGAAACAGTGGAAGGTACAAGTTTAGTGAAGTAATTTTTATACAGTTGAAGGACTACCTTGGAAAGTTTTGATAAGGAAGGAACTGCTTAGAAATAGGGTTAAAATTGAATTTGATGTTTACGTGAGCATCTCAGAAACATCAATTTATCTCATTTTGGGCTGAACATTTCATTGTTAGACTATAGCCTTTAAATCGAAATTTTGTCAACTTGGCTGAATTTTTGATATGAGTTAGTTTAAGGTATATTATAACAATAAGTGAGAGTAATTTTTTGTTCAACCCCCGGCCAAGGGTGGAAAAAGATAAAACAAAGGGCTTTTTCAAGATAACTCAAAAAGGGTAAG